GGGCAGGAGTGCATGGAGGAATGGACACAGGGAAGAGGTAACTATGGGGAGGAAGTGGGAGGAGAGCTGTTGCATTGTGGTAAATTGTGGTCAATGTCATGAGACAAAGTGTATGTGAACCGCTGTATGCAAAGTAAATTTGCTCTGTAAACCTTCACCCAAATCACAATTTAAAAAAAAAAAGAGTTTTCTCCCAAACATAATGTTGAAATTGCACATGAATGTATAGGCTGTTATAGTACCAGACCTATCCCAAGTGTTTGAGGTTGATTGATCCAGAGAACTTTGTGATTTTGCTATTCATTCTATCATGGAAATTTTTTTTTTAATAAGTAATATTAAATATGAGTGTGTGTGTGTAGGGGGGTAATGTATGTGTAGTAATCAAATGAAATGAGTTTATAAAACATCTACAACAACATTAAACTTGTAAAATTTAATGATCTCCAAAATTAAAAAAAAAAAAGTTAAAATATAACCGTAATTTCAAATGTGTTTAAATATTTTGCTTTTCCTCTGGACTTTGAAGTTCATTGCCTTCCCAAGTGGGTTGGGATCAGCTCTCTGAGAGTACTAGATGTTCATAAACCAGAGACTCTGTGTCAGTTCTATCCACTACTTGTTCATGTTTTATATGCTTTTTGTAAAGGGTAGTTAAGATTTAAAGACTTACTCATTTCCCCCGTTCAGTGGCCCATCTGTTTCCTGGTCAGCCCAGGTCATTCACAGATGTCCTTATCAGAAAAAGTTGGTCCGTATGGAGGAATGTTACCAGGTGCATTGGTATTCTCCATGGTGTTGAAGAGCTAGGTGAACTTTCTTGTACATACTTGGGTCAGGATATTTTCTGAATCTCCCAATTGTAGGCACCTTTGTATATTTGTTTTTCCTTTAGTGATTGACTTTCTTAAGAGGAGATATTATTGGGGGGTGGAGTATTACTTTGATTTTTCAAATGTTTGAAAGCTATCTTAAGTAAAAGTAAATTCAACTTTACAAGCTTTTAAAAATGTTCTGGTAGCACTTTGTTTACTTATTTCTCATTTCCCTATCCATTTACCATTTCCCCCTCATTTTAGTCCGATAGAAGGTAAAAGCATGCTGTTAGCATGTTTGTTTGGGTTTGCTAGTTGCCATAAAATGTCTTTTTTTTCTTGAAATACAAGAGAAGGGTAAGATTAAAAAGCATTCAAGTTTTATAAATAACCTATAGAGGAAAAAAATAGATGGATATATTTGTTCATAAACTGTGTCAGTTTGAATCCCATTTGTTTTATAGCTTGAGGGCACTTGAAATATTAAGCTGACTTTGTATGACTGAATTATTCTGCATCTGTGTTCATATAGCATTAACCTGATTCTTCCAGCAATGAGATCATTTGGACCGTGGATTTTGGAAATGATTTAAATTGTAAATGTACCCTTTGCAGTCCTGTTGTTTGATCTCATTTAGATATTTCTTCTACATTAAGTGCTATGACTACAAAGGAATAAGACTGGTTTCTGTGAAAAATTCCTCTTACACTGTCATTTTGTGATCACACCTCATAAATGAAATGAGAGTGATATGAAAAATGCTGAGGCTTAACAGCACTTTTCAACTCAGTTCCAGAATTCACCTCCTAGATGTACACTTTTTGCTGGTATTTTGCCAATTCAAACGAGCACAGTCTGGGTTTTATTCTTCTCAGGTATAGACAGTGAGAAAGAATAAATACAATATATGTGTA